TCTCTAAGACCTGAATGACTAAGAGAGAGACACAGACAGAGAGAGAGAGAGAGGATGAGTGAGTGAGTGAGTGAGTGAGAGAGAGAGAGACTCTGATCTCTCTGGCAATCTTTCTCATTTGGAGATTGTCCTATGTTTTATCATTTACAGCTTACATGACTATTGTCCTGCTCTGCCATGTCTTTCCTCGTCTCTCCCTCTTGTGTCGCGGTGTGTGTAAATGTTACTCAAATCAGGAAACTTATCAGAATACCCATATTTGATTGGCTGAGCTGCATCACGTATATCTCTAAATCATGTGTGTGCAGCTTTTATTTTAAAATGGGGGGGGTCCTCTAAAAGTCTCTAAGACCTAAATGACTGTATGAGAGAGACACACAGAGAGAGTGTCTGTGAGTCTGTGTGTTTATCAACATCACTAATTAGCTTAATCAGAAACACCTGTGTCCTTACAGCCTTTTCAGATATAAAACAGGGAAACACCTCTCAAACAAATCCTCAAAACTCCCATAACCGTAGCTCCTATTGCTCCGATATTAACAAATGAGAGGAAGGATGAGTTGAAGAACAGATCCTGTAAAAATTGTGTCTGTAGTGTAAAAAATGTGGCTGAACTGGCGATCTAGAAATGGGGTACTGTGTTCTGTGGAAGATGTTTTTGAAGCAAAATTTAACATTTTGTCTCCATGGAGCAGAAAGTTGGTTTTCCTCTCAATTACAGGCTTCTGTGCCAAATGTGTAAATCTGTGGGATTCCACAGTCATTTGTCTACAACAAGGACAAGATTAGCTACTTCTACATCCAGAAATGATGCATGAAGAGTGAAGATTGTGGACACAGTGGCAAAATACAAATGTTTTTTTCACAAGAATCTCAAGCTGCTCTTCACTCTAGCGGTGACATCACGCACTCTAAGCTGCGCAATACACACCCATTATAAAGTCAGAAAAGGGCTGAAAAATCATAAAAGTTAAATTGCTGCAGTTCAAAAAGTTTAAAATGTATCAAAAAGCTGAATAATGTGGCAATAGATCAGGGTTTTCTCAACATTTGAAAGTTGAAATGGTGTCTGTAGCTGAAAATATGAGGAAGTTGAAGGATTTGAAAGTTGAAGAAGTTTAAGAGGATTTGAACATTTTCTCCATTGAAATCCCATTCAAAATTAAAATTGCAAAAAGTTTAATAATTCATAAAGCATAAGAGATAGAAATATGAAAAGTCATAGCAGAAATGTCATTAAAGAGCTGAACATTTTGATAGTTGAACGGTTTCTGTAGCTTAAAAAATGAAGAAGAAGAACAGGTGGGACGGAAGAAATATAAGAAGAAGAATAAAGAGAAACAGGATAACAATAGTTGGAATGCTTAACAGCATTCCAACAATTAAAATAAGTTGAAGGTCATCACAGAAGAGCTGTCAATTTAAAAGGCAAAATAACAATTAAAAAGTTTTCATTAGTCTGGGATAACATTAACTGTGTCTACACAAGTCTTTCATTCAAATACCTGGAGGTTGGTGATTTGGAAGGTGCCGTTTTCCATCAAGCTGATTCGACCATCGTTTCCCAGGATCCTCTGGCCGTCTTTCTCCCATTGGATGCTGGGGATGGGGTTGCCCATGATGTGGCAGTGCAGCTGAGTGGTGGAGCCAGGAGCTAAAGTGTGATTGGCTGGGCCCTGTCGTATGATGGGCGGGAGGCGGTCCGATGGTGCTGCAGGGACAGAAAACGAAGTTAGATGGTTTGAGATTCAACCAGGCAGCAAAGTACAGGTCTCCTCTGGTTGTATAGAAGTCTATGAGAAAATGACTCTACTTGATTTATTACCTCAGTAAACATTGTAAACATGAGTTTATGGTCTCAGTCTCTAGTTTCAAGTCTTCTTCAATACAGCATGAAGTTCATTTAGTAAATTATGGTCCATTTAGAGTCAGAGCATAAAGCAGGGGATGCTTTAGGGCGGGGCTACACAGTGATTGACAAGTCGCTTCCAAGGCGTTGTCTGCTCTGGGAGTTGCCTGTGTTTTCCCCTAACAACTTTAACCCTTTCACAGTGTGTTTAAGTTCATGAAAGTTGGATGTAAAATGTTGGTTGCCTAAAAGAGTCTTACTCAGCGTTCTGTTGTACTTATGACGACCAAAACTCAAAATGAAGATGGTCAAAACTTGACACTTACGTAGCCCATAAAAGCTATGGGTCATGGTGACTATGTCCAATACCTATATCATGTGTATGGATACAAGGCCATAACTGAGCCCCCCTCTTGTCAGAGAACCTCATGAATTTCCGCTGTGATCAAGATGTAGTTCACTGTCGATCTACAGACGATGTAGCACACAGTGTTAGGGCAGTGCTGTCTGTCCATTTATAAATTGATTTAACCATCAATCATCATCATCAAGTACTCTCAAATATTTCCCACTAGAGCACTGGTCTTCAGAAACTAGATTTTATTTAAAAATCATAGGCTAGATGGAAACATTACATCTCACCTTTTGCTTTAAATCCATTACATGTTTTACTATTAGGCCTGTATGATATGATTGATGTGTTTTTTGGGGGGTTATAAATGACTGGTAACAGTTTTGTTATCATTGTCCTGGAAGTCATATCTACAGACATAATAAAGTCAACAGATGCTCTGGGTTACCAGTCTTTATGTTGGCCTGTAATATTCCAGCCTGCCCTGCCATGTGAGATGTATGAACATTCATCCCAGAGGCTCTAAAGTCTCCTCTCTCTGGCCCGGCTTCAGTGCTGCATGCAGATCGATGACAGGAAGGAATATGTTGATGCTTTTACCTTCTGTCACAGTGATGGGCCACTTGGGATATTCAGTTGTACCAGAATGAATACAATAATAATATCTATCATACGCAAAAGAGTCTTTTCAGCAGACACTATACCTTTGAGTAAGCATGGATTATTTGGAATATAGTCATGGTGGATGATGGATTGTCTTTGTGTTATGGGGTGTAAAAGCCCACAATGTTATACGACAATGACCAGAAACCGAAATCTGAACTCGCTATCATGTAGTGAATAAGCTATTCACTATACTTACATACTTCAATACAATACTTCAATACAATAATTAAAACATCAACTGTATTCCTGCAAGTTCTTTCTATTACATTTGAAATGGATACAACGCATTTTGCTACCAGACAACTGAATCGTCGTTGGCAAAACACTGAGGAGGAATTACACTTTTCAAAAACTGTGTGAAAGTCAAGTGTGAGAGATTTTTTGTTAGATCAAGGAAATATAAAAATAAATAAATAAATCTTCATTTACATGGGCTGCACCACTGGGCTGCACCACTGGGCTGCACCACTGGGCTGCACCACTGGGCTGCACCACTGGGCCTGAAAGAGAAAAGCCTGCTTCACCCACAGCCTTCACAGTCACCACAGAGCAACACATGGACAGTAGGTAAGGCTGCTCTCCATGCCTTTGTGTCTCTATGTTCAATCTTCAATGTAAACACCGTGGTATGAGTGCTGCCAAGGAGCAGAGTTCATCTTTAGTTTGGAAGAGTGGAGTAAATTCCTGCACAGTCATAGCTGGTGGTAAAAAGGAGCTGAAGACTGTTTGTAACTGAGAGTTTGTCTTTTCATTTCCTGCGATGGCAACCGGCGCGACGCAATGATTAAGCGAAAAATAGAACACTTCACTCAGCCTACCGTGTGACATTTGCCTTCAGACATCAGAGCGCGCCTTCACTGGTATTCTTCTCTGTGAAAAGCTAGCTGGAGCTAAACCCAAAGTGTGAAGAGTCAACACAGGAGTTAGCGTAGAAAGAGCTGAACAAAATCCCTGTTTACTCCCTGAGTGTGTGTGTGTGTGTGTGTGTGGGGGGGGGGGGGGGGGGGGGGGGGGGGGGTGGGGGGGGCAGCATATGCTGCAGCAGGGTTATTTGCATAGAGCTATCACCAGTTGTCCCTTTTGATTACATCAGATAAGGACTCCTGCTGTTGGCTCATTCGGAGGAGAATATTTTAATTTGAAAAGGATTTGAAGGATGGCTTTTTGAATCTATATCGCCGCATGGGAGATTGGGAGAAGTTGTTAATCAAATATGAAAATACAAAATGTTAAATTTAAACATTTGGGAAGACATTTTTCTTTTAACTTCATCCAGTTAAAGCCCACTGAGGCAAATTTGTGATTTGTGATTTTGGGTTATACAAAGTAAATTGAATTGAAAGTTTACACAGGGGAGACTTTCATATTTCTTCCTTAGGTTTAAAAGCTTTCATTTTTTAACTAGTGTGTAAAAGCTGCAAGCTGAGGACACACATGTTGCACACATGACCCTATCTCATTTTTCTGTTGACTAAAGTTTTAAAGGGCCAGTGTAGAATCTAGGGGGATATACGTATATCGGCAGAGAGCTTGTATCTACTTATACTTTACGGAGTCGGCCCAGAACGGGCAAACTGAAAACTGGCTCTAGAGAGGCACATCCGTATTTCCACATCGGTCACCGTAGTTCTTCATGCTTGTCACGTGGGAGAAGTTTCAGTTGGTCGCAGTCCTACACACTGGCCCTTTAACAGACATATTCAGATGCCAAAAATTGTCCACATCAATGTGTCATTTAGTTCAGGACTGTCTTCTAAAAACCTATGAAAATAATGTGCCAAATAGATGCCAGACAATACAACCCAGTGCAGTTTATAGATGCATTTTCAGACGGTAACTAGATGACTTGCTCGGAGTCATGTTGGCGGTGGAGTCAATCAACAGAAAGACAGAGGAAGGTTTACGGTGTGAAGACAGGACGCTCCTGTCTCCTGGTGAAATGAACTGATATATTCGGACCAAACTGAATTCAGATCTTGAGCAATTACACAACAGGTGTGTGAATTTAAACAGTGACAGTCAAAAGCCAAATAACAACACCGCCGGGTATAGACAGCAGTCATACATATCGTAGCTAACAATCATAGCATCTTTAATGTGATCGGTACTCATGTAATCAGATTACTGTAATCCTGTGACTCCACGGCCGTTTGTGTGTTCGCACTCACCACTTTCCACCTCCAGCAGGGCTTTGGTCAGGATGCTGCCGGCCACACTGATGGCCTGGCAGATGTAATAGCCGGAGTCTTCCACTTGGACGTCGGTGATGGTGAGCTCGCCGCTCAGCGACACGGAGAAACGGCCCGACTGTGACGGCTCCTGGATGGGGAACAGCAGAATCTGGGGAAGGGAAACATGAGGAGGATTTGTCTTTTTTTTGAAGACATGGAGGATAGTTTGAATGCAGTGTGAAGAGAGGAAAGGAGAGCGCCGTGACTGACCATGAAAAGATGGATGAACTAAGAGCTTTCATTCAAAGGTGAGACCTCGGAACTTTATCTCTTTGTGACTATGTGTGTACTCAAACTGCAAAAGTTACAACAATACACACTAAAGATTCAAAAAAAGAAATTCCATTGCATGTAAAAGAGACATGACGTGGAGGGATGGGTGGAGGATGAACAGTAGCACACAGTGGTTGCTGGCTTGCTGCAGAACAGCTACAACATTATTGTAGCTAAAAAAAACAGTATTTTCAGTATTGGTCGTCGATGTGCATTAAAACAAATCAAGAAAACACATGTGTTTAGCCTGTAACTTCTTTCATTGCATCCACATCTGTTGTTACTTTCATCCAGAAACAATGACACCAAAAGTGTTTTTCCTCCAACTTTCATCCCTGATCTTCTCCCTTTTCATTTAACATGAAATAACGACGATGTTTCAATCCCAACATGCTACCCACATACTTCCTCTCCCCCCTTGTCCTCCGCGCTTTCTCCTCTTTATCTCTCTCCTCCACTCTTGTTCTCTCCCACACACATTCTCCAGGCCTCCTCCAATCTCCCCCTTCTCTAATCTGTACCTGGGAGCCATGCTACAGGCACCCACGCACTCTCGTCGGGCCTTTCAGCGCATTCCAACAGGCTGCAGTGCTTATCACATGCTCGCCTTTCTCACACTCACACTTATGCACGCACGCACGCACACACACACACACACACAGGCCTGAGCAGACTTACACTTTGGTGAATAATACCCTGTGTGGATGATGGGAAAATGAGGTGTGTATGAATGTGCAAGTGGGTGTGTGTGTGTGGGTGTGTGTGAGTCACCCTGGCACTAAACTACATAATGATAAAAGCAAAGGATGAGAGTCAGGAACATGACAGTGAGAAGCAGAGATGCAGGCTTTCTTTAAAGCATGTGTAGCAGAGAGGCATGTGAGGGAGAGTAACTTAGCCTAACATCAGAACATTAATGGCTGCTGTGTTCATCATCGTGTCTGTGTCATTGTTTTCAGCTGCTTTCATACTCATCCTACTTGGACTCATCTGGTTGGAAATAAAATGTCTATATTCTGAAGGTTTTTTACGGAGGGGTCTGTTCATATATATAATTCATAGCCTGATGTATACAACATGTTACTACTAAAAACATGTGTGATACAATGAGATATCTAGAAGAACCTTTCACTCTAATATTTCAACAAAAGGAAACAACATCTTGAACCTGGCTTTATCCAATGTTAATATTTCTGTTCTGGAAATGTATGCAAATTAGCATATATTTAATAAGACAATGCATGATCTAAACATACATTTTCAGAAAAAAATGGATACAAAAAAAATAATTCTCTTAATGGAGTAATGAACTGGGGAAGTCTCATGGTGATATCTATTAGTTATGCGTATACATTTATTTTGACCTTATTCCCCTGTAGTGCCTCCCCTTACCTTTGATATGAAACTCATTCATGGCCGCATATTCATGTTGTATAAATCAGGCTATGAATGATATATGAGATTTAGACAAAGTAGGAAATGAATCACCTAAATGTGTATTTTGGGTGTTTTCTTTCCACTCGTCTGAAAGAAGAAATGTTATGGAAGCAAAATAGACCAAAATCTCTAAATGGACCAGTGCATGAAAAACAAGGTTTTTACCTGGGGGGTCTAATGTTGGATGTAGGTGACACTGTACAGTATTTGGCCAGAGTTTGAAACTTTCTTATAATAAAGTGTTGCTGGAGCTTCAGGGTTAACTCCCTTCTTTGTGCACCAGAACCGTTATATAACGTCAACCACCATCTAGTTCCTTAAAAAGTGTTCAATATTAATTTAGACAGATATCATATTACTGTTAATTGAACAAAATCGCTTTCAGACGCAAAGTGACCACGAGACTCTGATAGATGCCTCAGAGGGCAGAAGTGAAGTCATCGTCCATGAAACAGAAAGAGATTCATACAGGTCACAGAGTCTCTTACCTGGCTGCCTTCTTTTTGCCAGAAGACGGCCGGTGGAGGGTTTCCTTTGGTGCCACAGAGGAAGGTTACGGTGCGAGCCGGGGCTGTGATCTGGTCCCGCGGCCGAACCACGATCTGAGGGGGCACTGCAACGCAGACAATGGAGAGAAATCGTTATCGGGAGCACAATAGAACCAAAGCCTTTGTGCGTGCTGAGTGAGGCTGTGACATTGAGTGCATTAAGCCGTGACAGGCCTCCAGTGATGACGGCAACTCAGATCTGACAACTCTTTCACTTAAGCTCTCTCTCTCTCTCTCTCTCTCTCTCTCTCTCTCTCTCTCT